AAGCTAGATCCTGCCAGCTCAAAGCTAGATCCTGCCAGCTCAAAGCTAGATCCTACCAACCCAAATCTAGACCCTGCCAACTCTATCAAGACCCTGCCAGTACATTATGGTAGAGGAATACGTTCCGGAAGGATCGAAAAACGCAGAAGAATACCTCAAATACATCCCTACAAAAATTGTAATAGGACCCAAACCAATATCCCTAGAGGAATACCGGCAAAGGCAAAACCGCCGAAAAGCTAACTTACAAGAGTTTAGGCAACGAATAAGCTGCGAACATAAACCCAAAAAACGTGGAGGTAGAAAGCGAAGGCACCAAAAAGAATGTGCAGAACTACAGCGAATAATTAACATCAGTCGTGGGCAACAAAAGAAGAAGTTGATAACCAAACTAAAAGATCTGCACAAAAATGGGTGGAACCCAGCAACAACAACAACGCAGAACCACCAAAAGGATCATTAGGAAATTTATAGTATGAACAGGGAAACCACCTTAGTAGACGTCATAAATCCAAAAACTAGGGAAGAAGAAACAAGGAGAATGTTAGCACAAATAAGATAGCTATAACTAATAAAAATACAAAAAAAAATTTTTTTATTAAATTAAAAAACAAGAACTAATAATAAAAAGGAAAATTGTTTTTCTCATTCATTTTTTTTTTCTCAACCGTAAAATATTATTAACATAAAAATGACTTGGTGGAAAATTGCACTAAACGGCATATTAATAGGAATAGCAGGATACGAAGTAGGAAAAGAAACCTCAGGTGAAAACACCTACGAAACTAAAGTAATTAAATATCAACCACATCCTATCGTAGAAAACAAGGAAGAAGTTCCCGATAAGTGGTTGACCGCTTTTGCATGCGTAGCTACATGTTTAATTGTCGCAATGGTAATCTTGATAAAAAATTACATTAAAAACAAATTGAGACAATTAAACAATGTACAACAACGCGTATAACTCTCTCAATAAAAATAATGAACTTTGAAAAATGCCAAAAGTTTTAAACCAGAAATGAATCAATGGAAAGAAATCCATGACACATTAACTGACGAAAAAACTAAAGCTAGTAAATCATACAAATGTATAAATAAGAGTATTCCTATAACAACGGAAACTATAGTAAAACATTTGAACATAATCTTGGAAGCCCTTAATAACATTAGACAGGTGATCAATGTAGCAAATCGCGTACTTACCACAGAACACCAAAAGGAAGCTTACCAATTTTTCATTGCAGTACGAGTTAAACTTGTATCTTCGTTAGCTAGACACAATATAGAAGTAACAATACCAACCACATTAGAGGAGAATCTCCAGGTTGATTTTAACTTACTTCTGTCAGAACGCGTCCGAAGCCGGACTCCATCACCCTCTTTAAGTCAAGGGGAAGACACCAAAAAAAGTAAACATCCCAACCATAAACGTCACAATGGTACAAACAGTAGTCGAATTCATTAAAACCGCCTCGTCAGTACTCCCAGAGTTTGATGGGAAGCCAGAAAACTTACACAGCTTCTTAGATGCCCTCGACATACTTGATCAAATCAAGGATGAGCACGAACTTTTAGCAATAACAATGATAAAGACCAAGCTAAAAGGAACGGCAAGGAACTTCATCAGTAATGAAAACACGATTGGACAAATAAAAACAAAACTCAAAAACGCGATAAAAGGTGAATCGGTAGAGGTTTTAACCGCTAAACTTCTAAACGTTCAACAACGTAATAAAACTGCTAACCAATACACAGCGGAAATAGAAAAAATTACCAGATCACTAGAAGGAGCATATATCTCGGATGGATTAAACCCAGACTTAGCAACGAGATATTCTACACAGGCAGCCGTTAAGGCAATGTGTAAAAACAGCTCCAACAATAATGTTAAAATGATAATGCAAGCGGGAACGTTCACAACAATGAACGATGCGATCTCTAAGTTCACCAATAGCTGTACCGAAATAACAGGCAGCTCGAATACAATTTTGAACGTACGACAACAGAGTCAGTACAGGAACAATTTCCGGGGAGGATACCGAAGTAACAACTATGGAAATTACCAAAATCGGAGATTCAGACCACAACCGAGATACAGCAATAACTCGAGGTCGTACAGCAATAATAATAATAACCGAAGAGGATCACAAGCCCAAAACGTCAATAGATCCTACAACCAGACCCGCAATGTGCGCAGCTGCACCCAGACGGAAAACCAGGAAGCTCCACTTCAAAATTAATAGAAAGAAAAATATGTGTACTGAACCTAAATCTAAACAGCTATATATCCACAAGGACATCCCTAAATAATTCGATTTCAAATTTTTTAATTGATACGGGAGCCGACATTTCCATTATAAAAATGCATCAAATTAGTAAAACTCACAAAATTAATAAAGAACAAATTACAGATTTAAAGGGCATTGGTCAAGGAATAACTAGCACATTAGGCACAATTAGGACTAGATTTCATAAAGAAATACAATTGTATTTTAGATTATGGCAAAACAGAGGATAAATTAATCCTAAGGCCATATGATTTCCCCCAAACAATAACAATGCACCTAACAAATTGTCTGTCTGTCAACACACTTACTATCCCTGCTAGATCTGAAGTCATTAGACAAGTCAAAGTAAACACCGATAACAAAAACATCTTCATACCACACCAACAATTATCTGAAGGCATTTTCATAGCAAACACTATCACAAATAAAGATCAAACTTTTGTTAGAATTATCAACACAACACATAAAAACACAACTATTCAAAATTACAAGATCAATACCGAAAATTTAGACGATTACACACTAATTAAAACAACCACACACGATAAAAATTGCAATGATACAGAGAAATTAAAAAGATTAACAAAAAACTTTCCACAATTTGTCAACGCTCAACTAACAACACTATGCACAGAATTCATAGACATATTTGCACTAGAAACAGAACCAATTTCCTCTAATAATTTCTACAAACAAAAATTATACATGAAGGATGACACTCCTGTTTACATAAAAAATTATAGATTGCCTCAAACGCAAAAAGGAGAAATAAGCAAACAAGTAAATAAGTTAATCGAAGATGGCATAATAGAACCCTCCATATCGGAATATAATAGCCCAATCTTATTAGTCCCTAAAAAATTACTCCCAGGTAAAACAGAAAAAAAGATGGAGATTAGTGGTAGACTACAGACAGGTAAATAAAAAGCTAGCAGCAGACAAATTCCCACTTCCAAGAATTGACGATATTTTAGATCAACTTGGAAGAGCAAAATATTTTTCATGCCTAGACCTTATGTCAGGTTTTCATCAAATCGAATTACACCCCGACTCCAGGGATATAACCTCATTTACAGCCGATAATGGCACATATAGATTCAAAAGACTACCCTACGGATTAAAAGTAGCACCGAATTCATTCCAAAGAACGATGACCCTAGCATTTGCAGGCCTCAAGCCATCTCAAGCATTTCTCTACATGGATGATTTAGTTGTATTAGGTTTTCTGAAAACCACATGCTAAAAAATTTAAGAGACGTATTCTCCACTTGCAGAAAATTCAACCTAAAATAACATCCAGATAAATGCCTATTTTTCAGCCAAGAAGTAACTTATTTAGGACATAAATGTACAAACAAGGGAATATTACCCGACCCGAGCAATTTTGAAACAGTTCAAAATTACCCAACACCAAAAACAGCGGATGAAGTTAAGAGATTCGTAGCTTTCTGCAGCTATTACAGAAGATTCGTACCGAATTTCGCAGAACACTCACGAAAATTAACTAGGCTTTGCAAAAATAATGTTTCCTTCGAATGGACAGAAGAATGTCAAAAAGCTTTTGCCTATTTAAAGGAAGCATTAATTAGTCCAAAACTTTTGCAATACCCAGACTTCGTTAAAGAATTCTGCATAACAACAGACGCTAGTGGGTACGCTTGTGGGGCAGTCCTTAGTCAGGAACATAATGGCAAACAGTTACCAATTGCTTACGCTTCTAGGTCCTTCACCAAAGGTGAAACCAACAAAGCCACAATAGAAAAAGAATTGGCCGCAATCCATTGGGTCATAACCTTCTTCAGACCATATGTTTATGGCAGAAAATTTCTAGTTAAAACTGACCATCGTCCTTTAACATACCTATTCTCGATGAAGAGCCCTTCATCTAAGCTGACACAAGTAAGACTCGATTTAGAAGAGTACGATTTTGAAGTGGAGTATATAGCCGGAAAAGAAAATCATATTGCGGACGCATTATCCCGCATAACAATTACAAACTTAAAAGATATGTCAGTGGAAGCAAGTAAAATATTAAAAATAACAACAAGATCAGCAGCGAAACAGACCAGCAGTAATGCCGAAAATAAAGAAAGTCACAAAGAGAACCCCAAAATTTACGAAGCGCTAAATAAATTTGAAGTAAAAAGACATGTCGAGCTCGTTTTCACTCCTCCGAAATTATATTTCAAAAAAGGAAAGAAAATTTGTAGCACTTTGGATACAAGCAACCTAATTGTTGAGGATAAGATTGACCTAGGACAATTCTTTACCAGGCTTGAAAGAGAAGCCGGCAATTTAGGACTTGTACAAATACAGTTGTCCTTAGGGGACAAATTGTTTAAAAGTAATTATACTGCAGTAGGCAAATTTATAGAAATGGGTAACAAAGTTCCCAAAAAGCTCACAATCGCTCTAACCCCAGAGGTTATATATGTGACAAATCCCGGGAAAATAAAAGAAATTCTGCACAAATATCATGACGATCCTATTAGTGGTGGCCACCCAGGAATAAATCGCATGACAGATAAAATCAAGCAGAAGTATAGCTGGCTGAATATGAAAAACGACATAAGAAAATACATAAAAAACTGCATCCACTGCAAGAAGAATAAGACCAATAAGCATATAAAAGAACCAATGACAATAACGGAGACACCTCCGAAGGCATTTGATATTGTACAAATCGATACAGTCGGACCATTACCGAAATCGATAAATGGAAACGAATATGCAGTTACCATCATATGTGACCTAACCAAATACTTGGTAGCGATCCCAGTCCCAAGCAAACACGCAACAACAGTCGCTAAAGCAGTGTTCGATAATTTCATTTTGATTTATGGACGCATGAATACAATAATGACGGACATGGGCACAGAATACAAAAACAACTTATTCAAAGAACTGTGCAAACTGTTAAAAATTGAACATAAAACTTCAACACCGTATCATCATCAAACTTTGGGTACTGTAGAACGCAGTCACCGGACATTCAATGAATATATACGTTCATACATATCCAGTGACAAAGATGATTGGGATGAATACCTCAGGTATTTCACGTATTGTTACAATACGACGCCATCAACCACACATAAATATTGTCCTTTTGAACTAATATTTGCAAAAAACCCACCGAACTACGATTTTTTAAAAGAAAATAAAATCAGCCCATTGTACAATCACGAAGCTTATGACAAAGAAGTAAAATATAGACTTCAAATAGCACAGCAAAGAGCTAGGAAATTAGTCCAAGAGGCTAAAGAAAAACAAAAAACAAATTATGATAAAAGTAGCTATAGTAAGGAAATAAACATAGGAGATTTAGTATTAGTTAGAGAAGAGGCCTCCCATAAGTTAGAAAATAGATATAACGGATACTACAAAGTTAAAAATATCGATGAGAACAACAATTTTACTTTAATACCGCATAGCATAGGAAATAGTAATAAAAACAATAAAGAAATTATAATTCATAAGAATAGACTTAAAGCAATATAACTCCACTAGTAATAACAAAAAAAAAAAAACAACCAAACAATAAACACTCATTTATCCATTTTAATAAACAGGCACACAAACCAAAGAAAACTAAATACAACATATCATGTTCAAAATACAAAAAAAGTCAGTACAATAAAGACACATGTGAAACAAATGTAAACAAAATAAAGTAAGAAAACCTTTTTCCAATAGCATAACAATAAACGATAAGCTAAGTGAGCCAAACATTTTATTACCTAATAATTAATTGTTACTGAATAAGTCATTGAAATAGAATACTCATACATTAACCCAAATGTATGAGCATTCTTTTAAAGAGAGGAGGTGTAGCATGACAGCTAAGCAAAACAAAATGTTCACACAATATTAAGTAAAAAGTTCAATATACTTTTGGCAATAACTAGGCCAAAGTACTCAAATCAATTTAGCTTGCGCTGCACTTCTCCAATAACATAAACTCGATTGAACCCATATACATTTATGTATGCATGCACAACAACGTAGAATCATAAGCATGACTAACAACTTAGAAATGTAAGTTTGTAAATTAGATTACTCATAAGGTAGATTGTAAGCATATAAAAGAACGGCGATGAGCCGAATAAAACATTCCAACTTTAAGACTCAACGTTTTTACTTGCGTTTTACTTTTGGAATCATTGTGGGGCATTTTAATGCTCACCTAAATGCGGCTGTAGAGCTAAGAAAATACTAAACTCCTTCCAATATTTACATGGCGATCCTGCTAGCTCAAGCTAGATCCTGCCAGCTCAAAGCTAGATCCTGCCAGCTCAAAGCTAGATCCT